CCGTTGGCCCAGGCCAGGAGGGTTCGGTGCTTCAGTTCTGATGACCCCCATGGTGATGCTGTCACCTGACACTGTGCTGTTGAAGATTAAGTAATTCACATCTGTTAATGTCATACTCCTCTAGTCAGGATGGGGCTGGGTGCTGGCAAACGGAGAGTATAGTCCGAGACACACGCTCTATTTCCCATGTTGGAAAGTAATCACAAGGAGCCCTTCTCTTCCAGAGCACGTACTGATGCTTCAGAGCACGTGGGATGCTTCCCAGGATTGGCGATAGGGCTGACTAACTGGGGAGTCGTGCCCAGCACCTCATAGCAACAGCAGGGAGAAGCTGCAGGGCGGTACCCACAGCTCTGGGAAGAGACGATTACTTGTAAACACTTATCTGGGGAACAATGAGTTTTAAAGAGGGAATCTGGCTTATAAGAAGTGTTCCGGAGAAATCCATTTTTTCAGTTAGGTAACAAAAACATTCATGTCACCTGGCTATTTGACTTTCAGTGACTTATGCCAAGAAAATTAGGCCAGCTGTCGTTATGAGAATGTCTGTATCAGTGTTGTTTACAATAATACAGATTTTTTATTAATTATTTTATTTGTTCTAGACAAGGACTCGTTCTTTAGCCTGGGCTGGCATCAGACCCACAGCAATCCTCCTGCTTCCTCCTCCTAAGTGCAGGCACAAGCCACAGTACCCAGCTAACAAATAATTTTGTATAACCCTTCAACACACTATCACAGATCGAGCTGCTTCACAGGACCTGGGATATTAAACATCAGCTATATACACACACTGACTGCCATGTAAATTAATCTGTGATTCTGTTCTGATGGCATCATCCATGAAAAAAAATAAATTAGTACAAAATCCTAATCCTTAATTAGCAATAACCATTTCTGTGTACAACTGTGCATGTGCATACATATTTTACATGTATCTAGAATATGTAAACACAGACAGTATATATGTGTCTGGGTGAAGGACAATCTAATCAGAAAACTGCTGGAAAGAGGGCAAACTTCTGGGATGATGGTGGATTAGAGCAGCCTCCAGAGACACCATAAGTGAGAAGAATCGGGTAAACAACAGTCTATTCTGAAGTCTCAGAAACAGGCTCTGCCTGTCTTCATGATAACTTGTCTCATTATGGTGTGTGTGTGTGTACACCTGCATATATATACCATGTATGTTAAATATGTGCTTATCTGTGTCTATGTATGTGTACTAATGTGTAAATGTGTATCTGTATGTTTGTGTATTTCTGCATGTGTACATTTGTATACAAATGTGTAATGTGTATGTGCCTGCATCTATGTATTTGTATGTGTATTTATGCATATGTGTGTGTATTTGATAACTTTCTCACCCATGATTCTGACTTTCTTACACAGGTCTTAAGGTGACATCCTGCTTTCATCTGTCTGCCTGTTCATATCCTCTTTGAAGTCACCGACCTTTATTCAAGCAGGCTTTTGATCTCTTTGGCATTTCAACTGGGAACCAAGTAATGCGCTCCACAGGGTGCAGACGGTGGGTATAAGGTCAGAGAAGCTGGTTTCTGCATGTGGCCATCCCAATGTGAAGACGGGAAACACAGAGAATGGTGTGACCTGAAGCATTCACTGAAAGCCCATTTTCTCACATCTATGCGGCCTTCTTGAACATCAAACCTTGGCCCACTTGATACAGGGACTGAAATCTCCATCTTCCTGGTTATGCCTCAGACCGTTTGTATTTCTAGTCTGACAAGGGCAGCCTGCTGTCATGTTCACTTAGGAAAACAGAAAGCACTTTGGGTAGCCCGCTCAGGAAAGGACTTGACACAGGTGCTTCCAAACAGTGGAAGGGCTGGAGGAAAGGAAGGTTGGGATCACAGCCAGCAAGTGCAGGAAGTCAGGGGGTTGCAGGAATTGCAGGAAACCCAGGTCATGACTTCTGCTGCCTGCAGGCTGAGCAGGTGAGCCGCAGAAGATAGAGGCTCCTGCGAACCCTCACGTATGCCATCTGCTCATGCCAGCCCTGGTTGTTCATCTGGGGTCCTCTTGTTCCAATGCAGGTAAAACACTGAAGGCGAGCGAGTCACACAGCTGCGTCCCCAAGACTCTAGCCTCCTTAGCAGGAACTGGAAGGGGCTAAAACCAACAGACACCACCATATAGTCTACCAACTTGGTCTTTTGTGCTCACACACTTGGTGCACAATGGAGCTTCTAAATATACTGTGTTTACACATGAGGTTTGCACTCATCTTTGATCCAATGGGAAAGTGGAGAAAGGGGGACAAGGGGACCTCTACCTGATAGGTCCGTTCTATGGTGCCCACTCCTTCAAGGCAATAGTTTGCCTTCGACACCCTACATTTTGAAGTCTAAATGAAAACACCATACCCTATAATGACAGTTAAAAAGAGAACACACACACACACCTAATTTATAAAATATATACATTACAAAGGGCGGAAAAACACACTACTCCTGAAGCCCTTGTTCCTGGGCAGTTCCTAATTGATGATTAGTGGTCACTGTGCATCCCTCACCTGCCCCACGACCACAGCCACGGTTGGTTGGTACTAAGTGGTGCAGCCCAGCTCTTCCTTCCTGAGAGATCCATGACGACAAGATTCTGGCATTTGTAAGTGTCTCCTTGCTCTTTGGTCACACACACATGGACGTATTAATAAGTGCTCCAGAGAAACGCTCTGTATGTGTGGTTGTGTGTTTGCATACATGATTGTATATGTTATGTATTTTATGAACACATGCCCGTGTTAGGCCGACAAGACAGGCAGAGATATGGAAGAAATTCTTAGACTCCTGTGTTTCATGTTCCCTGGGCATTGTTCTGTCATGGTTTTGGTTTCTTGGTTTTCTGAACTTAGGGCCTTGCATGTGCTAAGCAACAGCTCTACCTGGGCTATTTCCTCAGCCCCACAATATTTAATCTCTATTTGTGCTCTTAACTGCTGTGCCATCTCTCTAGCTCTCCACTGTCCCCGCCAGCACACTTTTTAAAGCAACATATACAATACGAAGGAAGCAACTTTGTTTTTCAAGATTCTTGAGAAAAGTTACAAATTAAGACTTATTCCAGGAAAAAAACAAAAAACAAAAACCTTTAACCTGAATACTAAGATGGCACAGAGCTGGGCCTCACTTGACCGGCATGTTTTGAGAAGTGCCATGGGGGCAGTGTTGCTGATGTGTACAGCTTGCTTATAAACCCAGATGACACCAGTAGTAGGTAGTTATTTTATGGGATCCTGTACAATGTGTCCCCAACCAACACATTATGACAGTAACCGAATTACAAAGTACATTTCTTCTGAAACATAGACTCTGTATATACAGAGAATAAACAGTTTCTAATCTCCAAATTAAAAAGTGATTCTGTTGATGGAGCAAAGGACTTAATGGGAAACATTTGGTCAGTGGGATTTATATGTCTTAAAAAATGTAAGACTGGATATGGTGGTGTGTAATCCCAGCGTTTGGAAGGCTAAGGCGAAAGGATCGTGAGTTTGTGGCCAGCCTGGACTACATAAGCCTCCACATGCATGTATATACATGCACATATGCGCATGCACACGCACACACACACACACACACAAACCACTTATTAGCATTTTTATTTTTAGCTATTCTAAAATTATTGGTTTGAACTTATCATAAAATGCTATTCTCTGTTTGCAGCGAAATAAAAATTAGGTCTGTTGTATCTGCGATCAGAGACCAATCGGATTCTCTCTTGGTTCCCATGTGCACGGAGTGTCTTTTCCACCCTTTTACTTCAATCTACTTGTCTTCAACTCTAACGTGAGTCTCTTTAGACAGAAAGGAGCTTGCAGCCATTCTGCCGGTCTCTCCATCTCCTTTGAGGGTGACCAAAGCTCTGGGGTTCTCTGTGAAAACCACGCATTTAAGAGACATAAGAAATCACAACTGAGAAGAGATAATCCACTTTCACTTCAAAATTCAGTCACCAACTTACCGTGAGATCCTAACTTGGTTTCTCCTTTTTTTTTTTTTTAATTACGTTTGTATTTATTTTGTTTGCAGGGGGAGAAGACTTGCCGTGGTGCCCTATGACCAGTTTTTCTCTTCCCACCATGTGGGTTTCAGGGATCAGATGCTGGTTGTGAGGTTCCATCCTGGCAGCCCTTGAGCCAGTTCCTTTTTGTGATAAACGGAAAGCCCACCGAAAAACAGATGGTGCTGTCACACACAATTTAAACTGAGCCCCACCCACCCACCTACCACACAAAGAGCATAGCAGAAGCAGTGGTGCTCAGCTGCCTGCAGGAGGCGCTGCTGATTATACCATAGGTCATTACTCTGCTCCTTCTGACAGGCTGGCTTTCTAGTGTTTCTCTGTTATCCCTGGTCAAATCACTTAGGGTGTTAGGCTAGTATTATCTTCCCTTCCAGGAACTGGCTTGAAGAGATGGGAGATCATCTGGTCTGAGTCTGAGTGCTGTGAAGGATGGCTTTCCTGTGAGCACAGGGAGCTTATTTTTAACCTGAGAGAACATAAAGAAGCCCACTTCTGAAGTAGCCCTACCATGTCTGAAAACCCAGGCAACTCCAAGGGAGTCACTGAGGGAGTATGACGACCAGAGACAGACAGGAGGGAAGTCCCTTACTACATTTCTGGTTGAGTCATACCACCTGGACGCCTCCTCATCTCGGGGTTTAAGGGAAAAAAAAAAAAAAGACCTCCACATTACCTGAGCCTATCTTAGATTTCCCATTTTACCCAAAAATTACATTATTAGATTTACTACATATTTCTAAATGCTATCAAAACAATAGACTCTTGGAGCAACAGAGATGGCTTAGCTGGAATGAAAAAGGCCCTTAGCACCCAGCCTGGCAACCCAAGTGTATCCCCAGCACCCACACGGTACAAGGAAAAGACCAATCTGCACAAGGTGTCTCTGACCTCTACACACACTGCTGTGCACAATACATAAAGCAACTTAAAATTTTAAACCAGCAAACTTCTGTATTTTAATATTTTATTTAAAATTTGCTTTAAATTTCTGTAAAACATTCTTCAATCCATTATTTTAACACTATAAATTCCACTTGAAGTAGCTGAAAAAAAAAAAACAGACAGAGCAGATAACAGGACTGACTATAACTGAGCAGTCTATCTTACTACAGGGGAGGCAAAGCCTCATCAGCACCAGGACAAACAAATCTAACGTATCAGGCATGTACACAATCTATTTTCCTTTTGGTGATAATTTTTGGAAAATTACACTTTCAAAGAACCAGCCCTACAAATAGATAGTCTTTCCAAAAATAAAACCCAGTATCTAAGTTGTGAAAAGTCACGAAACTAGTTGAAAGCATGTGGCGGTGTCAGCTGCAGGCCACGCTCAAGCCAGGCTCTCACCACAGATGACTCTGACTGAGGAGGTGAGCTCACACTCCCTCTTGTGTTGGCAACTGTCTTATTGCTGAATTATACACAATTCTTCTTCTTTGGCAACATCACTAGCTAACACCAAGGGACAAGTGCAAAGGTTTGGGTTGTCAGCACTCCAAGCGCTCTGGCTGCTCCTCTGTGGGACCAGGATGGATGGAGTAGGAAAGCATAGCACACCTATCACATGACGAAGGGCCTGGCTGCTCATAACCTGCACACAAGTGTGGAGTTAGTTACTCAGCATCACTGGTGAAGACTCATCATCAGCTCCTTCCCACATCTGTGGAAAAGGAAAAGAACATCTGGGTACCCATCAATTCTTTAGGAAAGCTGCTTCATATGAATTCAAAATGACCTATACTTGACCAAAATTTTAAGTGAATTCTCATTATAATACCACCAAAACTTGATAACTTACATGAGAACTTGATATTTAAATAGCTTACATATTTAAATTGTTGTTTCACATACTAAGCCCACTTTAAAGGCTTGCCGTGATACTGCTGAGGAACTTGACAGGAAGCTCACTTCAGAAGCTTCACTACACTTTTTTCTCCATATACAAAGTCACCCACTTAAGAGACTTCCTTCCACCCAAAATGTCATTCCAAGTTCAAAGTGAACTAAAGTAGGTGTGGCAGAAAGTGCAATTGGAAGCATGTTCACACAACAACAGAGCAAGCACAGATACAAACACCGTATGCAAATGCGTGGAAGAATGAGTGTAAGAAATGTCCCATGGACAAACTTATATACAGCTGTATACAACTTCAAACTAGTACAACTGGAAACGTCTACAGAAGCCACAATAAAGTCAAATGCACACTCAGGACAGTCTCACCAACCGCTCTCCCTTAGAGAGCAGAGCAGGGCTGCCTAGGAACCGCTCTCCTCCTGACCAATCATCTTTGTAGAGTGGGGTTTCCTAGGAACCACTGTCTTCCTGATCCATCATCTCTGTTTTCACTGAGAACACGTCTGCCAACATGTGCTTAGGGATCTCGGAGCCCCGGACTTTAAGGGCATAGCAAGCGTTCTCCACTTTGGCCAGGCTCTGTTTCAAGGTGTACAGCTTCTTAGAGACCTCATAGGGCCCAGTGTTGCCAATGAATGAGAAGCCATCGTAAACCTGGCGTAAAAACTGGCTCACTTCAAAGGGGGTGTCAATGTCCCCGTTGCCCACACTGTTGATGCACATCCGCATCAGCTCCCCGGTTAAGTCGGCCACGCCCAGCAGGTAGTCAACAGGCGTGATCTTCAGTCTCCATGTAACTAGCTGCTTCTCTTGTCCGTCAGAGGGAGGCTGGTAAAGACAAAAAAGACACACACACACAAAGCAAACACTGTGATAAACTGAACACATCAGGCATCAAATCCATAAAGTACTGAAATCAACAGCAGGTCAAGCACACAGATCTCTCCCATGAGTTAACTACGTGGCAGGGCATAAGGAATCTACCGTATGCTGGGTAAGGACCTGAGCCTGGTGGCCTGGATGTATGAGAGGGTAAGGACCTGAGCCTGGTGGCTTGGATGTATGAGAATAATCAAATACCACCAATGTAAGACCAGCTGTGTCCAACTTCACCTGCCAAGCACAGTAGACGCGTGCTAAGGAAGGCTTGTCTCCTCTGTGTGACAATCACTATCAATCAGCGATCACACCCCCTGCCTATTCAGCCGGTGTCTGCTTCCCTGCTCTGCACTGCCCATAGTTTGCACCTGTGCCCGGCTCCTGCCAGCGCCTCATCCTACTGCCCATCCTGTCAATGTCGAGGTCTCCACTGCAGCTCTACACTGAGCAGCCGAGTCCGAGTGAGCTGAGGCACAGTAACTGCAGCTGTCTGCAGACTGTGACGTCTGGTCTACTGCAGGGTATTCACCAGTCATCTTAGTCAGGCTGCAGTGGTTTTATTTATTATTTTATGTGTATGCATGTTGTGCTTTCATGTACGTCTGTGAACCAGGTCCATGCCTGGAGCCTGTGGAGGCCAGAAGGCGGCATCAGAGGCCCTGGAACTGGAGTTACAGACGGTTGTGAACCTCCACGTGGGAGCTAGGAACTGAACTTTGAAGACCCAGCCTGTTCCACCTCTCCAAGCCCCTCCACAACAGTGCAGTTCTTCCCCCTACACCTTTTGGTGCAACCTCTTGAAACAATATTCCAAGCTTCAGGTACTCTCTTCTGTGCCCTACTCAGACCCCAACGCTTCAGTTTCAGGAAACAATCCGGCTTACTTTGCAGATCCAGTCATCTGCCAATCACTTGTACTGCCTAAGTGGCTGTTATCTTCATCACGAAGACAGCAACCTCACCTGCATCACAGCCACGCCCACCCTCACCTCATCTGCATCACAGCCACGCCCACCCTCACCTCATCTGCACCACAGCCATGCCCACCTCCACCTCATCTGCATCACAGCCACGCCCACCTCCATCTCATCTGCATCACAGCCACGCCCACCTTCACCTTCTATCCTCCAGTGTCAAATGACAAATTATCTCTCTTCTAGAGTGAACTTAACTTCCAAAAGACCTTGACTCTCCCGACCGCCTCTTCCAGGACTTTGATGCTTGTCTCTTGGTAAGGTTTTTCTCTCTAACCCTTGTTTGCTCCTCTGTAAACAGGATTATGTTACCTACCACCGAAGTCTTGTATGGATTAAATAAGACAATATTCACTAAATTCTTGGCGGTAATGTGCAACCCAAGTAAGCACTCCGTAAACGCCAGCTGTTGTAGTCGCCACCATGTCATATGCATCTCTCTCCATCAGGTCTTTCTAGCACTGAGGCGTGAGCTGTGAGCACTGTGTGTGGAATGCAGCTAGGTGAAGCTCTAAGCTCATTCTGGGCAGTGGGCCTGCAAAGGCACCCAGGAAAGAACCATGTGGTGTCTGAGGAGCTAATGAAGTCCTGTTAAATAGTAGTACAGGCTGAGACTGGAGAGACAGGCAGGCAGGAGACCACGCAGAGAAATCTGCTCTTCACTTCCGAGTTGTGGAGTCTCTGAGGATTAATTAAGGAAGTGGCAGGGTGAACTTTCCTTTCTTACTTTGGCTGCTGTGCAACCACAGAACAAATCTTAGTCCTGCTAAAGACCCTTCAGAAACCCTGAGGCCCAACAGTCCATGAGGAGAACAAGGCCTGAGGCATTGCAAAGGCCAAAGAGCTGCTGAGGGACAGAAGAAGGAAGCCACAGTTTGCGCCCCAGCATTCTGATGCTCCTGACTGAAAGCTGTCATCAAGGGGTCTGGGTTTTTTGTGAACCAAGACCAGGAGATGCATGTGTATACAGTAGGAGAGGCGTGCATTTCAAATGCCACTTAAAAGGATATATTTCACAAAATAATGGCCTTTGTTATTACACAGAGGGGTAATGGTTATAAGTTGATTTTAGAGAAACAGCCATAAACAAATTTAAAGTAAAATTTGTCAAAATAAATTCTGCTTTCTGAAAATTGTTAGTAAGGAAAAATTTGCTTAAAGTACAAGTCTTGAGATGGATACTTGAGTGTTTAGGAGGATGACAACGTTAATGTACTTTCAAAGGGTCAAGCAGAACGACTTGGACAAGGTAAACACGGAACGCTAACTCCTGCTCTTTGTCTAAGTCCTGGCACACGAGCTAAGGTGTTACCAGGGATCATCCCCTCTGCTTTTCTGTCTGAAATTGTCATAGTGTTTACTAAAATGATTTCGGCAATATTCTCACAAGCCAAGTTAAAAGGAAATTTTCTTTATCAAATTCTCAGTATTTCCAGCACTAAGAATCCAGAGCCACAGGGAAAGTTCTCTGTGAACACAGCTCAGCCTCTGGAGATGTGTGTCTAGGTCACAATCTCCAAAGTCCTGAGACAGCGCACACTCAACCTGCCTCCTCCCCAGTGTCTCTCTCCATGAACTAGAGAGGAGCTGCTCGCATGAAGCAGGGCACAGCTGGCCACTTCTCCCTGTGATTCTACTCTGACCAGGTAAATGAACCAAGGCCACGATTGCCCCGTGTCTCAGTCAGAACTTAACAAAGTGGAGAACAAGGGGAAAGCCGAGGAGACACGAACTCCTAACAGAAAGTTTTTCCTGTCATCCAAATCGAGTTTTTTGGCAATTCTAACATTTTATTTCATATTCCCGCCATCTTGACTTCTAACAGTTTCTCTGTATACCTGTGCTGACTCCAACTCATATTTTTAAAAATTAATAAAAGGAGAAAATTGAAAAATAGTATATATCCTAATATATGTCAGAGAAGAGCTTAGAGCCCACCTGGTTGCCTGAATGTCATATTTTCCAATCCAAAAGGGGAAAGAAGTACTTTAAGAAGTCAAAATGTAAAAGGGTTTCCTTCTCTCCTCAATTCAGAAGAGTTGGGCAACTGTAAGCACGCAGTAGTTTACGCAGGTGACCAACTGGCTCTGCCATGTGACAACGACGCTACCAATGAACCCAGTTAAGCAGCACCGCTTCATTAAAAACGTCTGTAAGTCAAACTCTTCCATAAAGCCCTCTGAGGTAGGCAGACACACCCAGGGTCCCTGTACATACCCCAAGCACTGGGGATGCCAAGTGTACGGACCAGATTCTAATACTTGAATGCATGTGCTGACTTCCTCAGTGTCTGAAGCCATGACTCTGGCTCTGTCACCAGTGGAGACACTTAGACCTAGCTTCCCTGGGGAGCCCTAGGACACCCAGCTTCAGGAAGGCGGAGTCTCCACCAATCATTATGCTGTTGTATAAATCATACAATAAAACTGAAACATGATTTTCAATCCTCACAGTCTTGCTCTCTTTCCCACTGTCTTCTGTTGTAAATGTCAACTGCTTGTTAATCTCTTCCATACTGATCAGTGAACGAGTCTTGATGAAGTGTTGAAAAGAGACAGCCTCCACATATTCCTGCAGTCCTGAAAAGAAGAACGAAGACGGTTACCAGGAACAAACACTAAACTACAAAAGTGTCGCCATAGGAAACGGGAAGCTGCTCATGACCCAGTAAGGTGAGAGGGTGGCAGATGCCCACGCAGACTGTACCAGCTGAGGCAAGGCACACGGGCACCGGGGCCTGTGCACCAAGGCTCGAGGATGTTACCAACCCTTTCTGCAGCAGGCAGGATGGTGACCTGGGACACATGTCCTAATCACTACTGTGTGCCTGGCGCATAACAAGCATAAAATAATTAAATGAGGGACTTCCACTTATAAACATTACAGAACAATTAAGAATTAGGTCTTGGGAAAAACATACAATAAATAAGAATACGGCAGAAAGGTACAAACCATAACAGGTCAAGTTTCTCGATGGAAGGCAGCCGGGGTGATAGCTATGTAACACCATCAACACACCAATGTGGAACACATACAAATGGTTGAACTGGTCAATCTCATGTCATGGATCCTATGCCCAAACACCTACACCCACTAGGTCCCCCACAGCACTCTCTGTGTTGCACCCCTAGGCTTCCATTGGTGCGTTTTCTTTCAAACACCAGCTCTTTTGTAAAACAGGAAAAATCAGAAAGAGATCTCCTAGGCATGCATGGTGGCTCACAAGTGTCATTCCAACATTCTGGAGTCTAAGACAGAAGGACTGCCCCAAATTCTTATCCAGTCTTGACCATATAGTAAGTTAGGCCAGCCTGGATTACAAGAATGTCTCAATCAAAACAGAAAAACAAACAACAAAACCTGTCACAGATTGAGGCATGAGAATCAGAAATTCAAAGCCAGCCTCAGCTATATCTTGAGTTTGAGGCCAGCCTGGGCTACATGAGACCCACTCTCAAAAAAATAAAAATTAATTAATTAATTAATTAATTAAGGTTTGTGCTATCTCACAAAGAGTTCAAGGACACCTGGCCCCAGACTCTGAGCAGCACTCTGGGTCTCATGTAGGTAAAAGGATGTTTAAACAAGTTATGTTTCAACTTGATGAAAAGGACATCCGTTATTTTCAGTGTATAATCCCCAAGGTGAAAATTTTCAGCCCACGGCCGTCCTCTGAACAATGCCTTCCCTGTGCGTCTACCTTGGAGGAAATCCAAAAGGAATTATTTACAGATTCTGCTTCCAGTAAGAGAGAACTCTGGAGGTTGCTCTTATGTAATTAGTTCTTTTTCATTTCATCCCGTTAGAACATACACAGGGAAACGCAACACAAGGTTTCTGATTCCTTATTTTCATTCTTATTGTACCTGAGCCACACACATTCAACCTAATTTCACACCAAACCTAGTCAGAGGGTGAACACTTAAGAGAGCTCGACTTGCTTTGCAGGATTTTACTTTTCTTAGAAAATTGTTTATCACAGGCATAAGCCCCAGAGGCACAGGAGTTATGCTCATACAGAGACTTGTAGGCAGACGCAAACAGCAGCACCCCTCACAAGAACCACAGGTAGAAACACTCCACCGTGCATCACCTGAAAGCCGGGCAGAGTGTGGTTTATCTGTTTCTGATCACGCCATAACAAAGTACTGGTGCGTGCTACCACCCAGATAAACCCTGAAACCATCATCTACATGAAAGACATCGTACAATCCTGTTTGTGTGAGATGTGATGAGACGACTCCAAAAAAAAAAAAAAACCAGTGAATTCCTAGCTGCTAGAGGGTTCCTTCAGAACCAGTGTTATCCTTATCGACACAATGTTACAGAGTTCAGAATGAAATGTCAACTTTCTGAAACAGGATTTCAGAAAAGCAAAGGACTGTGTAGAAACTGGACTGAAACACCCTCATGCAGGTGGGCATCCCACTAGTGCACACCGGACATCATCTAGAAAACAAGTCTACTTGGGTTTCTGTACAAACGCCTAAGCACAAAATGCTTAACCACGTTCTTCCAAAGCTCCAAGTACCACTCAAGTTTGCAGCATGGAACATTCTTACTAAGCTGTGATTAAATAATCCCTGTGGTGGTCTATATATGCTTGGTCCAGGGAGTGGCACTACTAGGAGGTGTGGCCTTGTTGGAGTGGGTGTGGCTTTGATGGAGTAGGTGTGTCACTGTGGTCGTGGGCTTTGAGACTCTCATCCTAGCTGCCTTTGGAACAAGAGGTGGAATTCTCAGTTCCTCTAGTGCCATGCCTGCCTGGACGCTGTCATGCTTCTGGCCTTGATGATAATGGACTGAACCTCTGAACCTGTAAGCCAGCCCCAGTTTAATGCTGTCATTTATAAGAGTTGCCCTGGTCTCTTCACAGTAATGAAACTCTTCTAAGACAGTCCCCAAAGTGTTCACTGTATCATAGCCCATTTAAACACAATTTTAAATTGTAGCTATTTTACTCCCAGGTTGAGGCTGGCCTCAAGGAGTGCTGAGTTTTATCTGATGCTCAAGTCAGTAGGTTAAACTGAATCCAGAAGAAAAGAGACCAAAGTTGTCAAAGAGACCAATGTGAACTTTGTCAAAACCCTCCTGAAGTCTCCATTTCCTTACCCATAAGTGGTAAAATATAATTTAGGGGACCACAAAAGCAAAAGCTGTGGCTACAAGGAAGAATGACTCTGTAAAAAATCTCCAGAACGATCAGCAATGACACACACTACTGAGGCAGAAGAATGGACACTTTGTACCCACTTCAAGGCCAGGCAACAATGTAGACAATTATCTATTTTAAAACACAACAACCTGTAGCTTGACCACAGACACCCATCTAACCCACCATTCACGTTCTTAAATAGAATAATTACAATATTACCTAGGAGCTAAGCAATTTATTTTACACGTGTAAACATCTCAAAACACGGTAAGAATCAGTGATATAGACTAAGCTAAAACAATACAAAAAATTCTTTTAAGATGCAGGGCATTCTCCAACCTGCTAACTTCTCAACAACAACAAGTCATGGAAAATGTTTTAAGTTGCTTATTCTAAGCAGTTAATTGTGCATGTACTTGTCCAACCATTTGGACAGTGCACAGCCTACTCTCAGCCAAGGTGCATTGTTGAACCATGAGGCTATTGTCTGTGCTCACAGTCCTCTCAGGGAAACACTGTCCCTGCTGCCAGCACTGCGCTTAGTAAGCATAGAACTCCTTTAGCTCAAAGCCAGATCTATTTTATCATCAAGTCAAAAGAACAGCCTTTCGGAGAAATAGCAAAACAAACAGTTACCCATTACATCAGCAGCTCTTCACAGCATCCTACCATCCACTCTGTAAATATATTTATTTTCCCAAGTGCAAATGAAGGAACTTTCTCATCACAGATGCAGCTCCGTGTGGCTGCTGCACCCTGAGCTTGAGAATCGGCACCACTGCTGTTCTGTTCAACGAACGCTTCACTGTAAAGCCAGGCAGGGTACTCCACACTAGCCATGCCATGCCAGCACTGGACGGACAGAGAGTCAAAGCCAACCTCAGCTGTGGGGACTCTGAAGCTGGACTGAGCTAAGAGACCAGGAGAACTTCTCTTTAAAGATCTTCACACGGAGCCAGCAGATGGCTCAGTGGGTAGAGCGCCTGCCACCAAGCCTATGTTCTAAGTTCAATCACTGAGGCCCACATGGTAGAAGGGGAAAACCGGTTCCCACAAGTTGTTCTCTTACCTCTGCACATGGGCCACAGCACACATGCAGGTGCATGCATGCAGGTGCACACATGTTAGGCTCACCTGTGGTAACAGCTCGATGGAACTGATGCATGTCCTCTCCCGAGAGCTCCTGGGCCACCTGTAGTATTTTCTGTCTGACACCATCCAGCTTACTTTCTGATTCAGTCAGTATCTCCTCCATATCAGGAGCACTATAAAGAGATTAGGAACCTTGAAAACATCAGCCTTGTGATCAAAATGATAAGAAAAACTGTATTCATAACAATCAGCCTCTGGACTTGGCTGCTTCCACCTAAAACAACTCAAAAAAAATTAACAGAGCATGCGAACAATGGTTTCAAACACTGCACTCGAGCACGCGCACATCAGACAGGACAACAATCAGGGTCATGAAGACACACCCAACATCCATCTCGAGGCTTGGAAGAGTTTCCTCATGACAAGGTAGGAAGGAAGAACCCAGGCAGAGCCAAAGTCTTGAGTTGAAAAGTTGAAAGTTTAAGGAGGTCATGAGCTAAGGTCATGAACTAAATATGCAGGCAGAGAGTAAGAGAAAGCTGCAGAGCAGATGGTGCTTTAGAGCTCTGCACTGTATAAGGGACTTCCCCAAGTGTCCAACTGAGTACAGGTCACTGCAGACAAGTACAAAACGTGGCTGGGTACTGGAGGCCAGAAGAACCCAGAGTGGGTGGCAGAACAATCGCCATAGCCTACATGCAGCCGGAAGAGCTGACTCATCAGCGCTACCCTGCAGATGTATGAACGGAAGTTCTTCAGGCACGAAGAAAATTCTTCCAGATGGAAATCGGAATCCATGTGCCAAGTAGTGAACGACATCAGAAATGGGAACGGCAGGGGCGAGCGTACAAGCTGTTCCTTGTTTCCTGAATCACACTGTGTGGAGTAAAAACAGTGTCTTGCAGATATAATACAGAAGTAACAGGAACTACCACAGTGGCACAGAAAGCTGGGCTAGTCAGGAAAGGAAGCCACTGTGTGCACATAAGCTGCTCAGCCTGTGGTAAAGTGACATGTGAGCAGCTCTTATTTTCCAAATGCAGTGCAAGAGCTGACAGGCACATCAACACAGACCTGAATTCACCACGCTAACTGCCATACAGAAGCATGTAAGGCAACTGTGAGTCCGGTATCCTTAAGTTTCAGTTAGCCCAGTACTATCTGAGAGAGATGATCTAGACTGTTGAGACAAACACTGCACACAATTAAGCAATCATGCATACATGTATGCATACATGCATATGCATACACACACACACATGCACACACACACACATGCAGGCACACACACAGAAACATACACATGAGAGGGGAGCAGGGTACATCTAAGAGAATAAAACAAGACTCAGTCCAGGGCCACTGACGGCTGAGGAAGTAAGGCACATGCCGTGGAAGCCTAAACACCTGAGGTTAGATTCCTGGAGCACAGGTTCAAGTGCAATGAGAGAATCCTCTGACTTCCACATGCAGGTAAATAATACACAAAGTAATTCTAAAAAGACAATAGGTGCTAGATGATGGTGACACACGCCTTTAGTCCCAGCACTCAGGAGGCAGAAGCAAACAGATCTCGGAGTCCAAGGCTAGCCTGGACTACAGAGTGAGTTCTAAGACAGCCAGGACTATACAGAGAAACCGTGTCCTGAAAAAACAAACAGTCCTTCTTTTCCTCCCTGCTGCTGCTTGCTGTCGAAATGGGCCAAGTTCACAAAACCCGGGAAAGTGGTGCTGGTCCTGGCTGGATGCTACTCTGGATGCACAGCCATCATCGTGAAGAACATTGATGATGGCACCTCAGACGGCCCTTACAGCCATGCCCTGGTGGCTGGAATTGATCGCTATCCCCAAAAAGTCACAGCTGCCATGGGCAAGAAGGAAATCACCAAGAGACCCATGATCAAGTCCTTTGTCAAAGTTTATAACTACAACCACCTCATGACCACAGGGTACTCTGTGGATATCCCCTTGGGCAAAACTGTTGTCAACATGGATGTGTTCAGAGACCCAGCTTTGAAACACAAGCTTGGCCAGGTGGGAAAGACAAATGGGTTTTCCAGAAGCTTCGATTTTAGGTATATTTTTGTTTCTGTCATAAAAAATTAAAGCAAAGCCGGGCAGTGGTGGTGCACGCCTTTAATCCTAGCACTTGGGAGGCAGAGGCAGGCAGATTTCTGAGTTCGAGGCCAGCATGGTCTACAGAGTGCGTTCCAGGACAGCCAGGGCTACACAGAGAAACCCTGTCTCAAAAAGCAAAAAAAAAAAAATAAAAAAAAAAGATTAGTCAGTTCAGAACCTGGGGATATCATTCAGTGAATAAAGTACTCGCTGTGGAATCGTCAAGGCCTGAGTTCAGATCCCCTGCACCCTAATAAGAGCCCAGCCATGGTGCTACACATCGGTAACTCCCATGGTGCTGCACATCGGTAACTCCCACGCTGTGGTCAGAGGAGCCAGACAGACGACTGAGCTCGTGGCCAGTTGGGGGAAAGCAGCAGCTCTAGGTTCAGTTAAAACCTGATCTCAATAGAAGACTAAGTCAGAGAACGGAAGCAGGTATCAGAAGAAACACCCACTCTCCTGTGCACCTGCAAACACACTTACATACAAACACACACACTCAATCCAGAATGAGGCAGAAGACAGTATGGTGGTACACACCTACAAGTCTGCCACAAGAGAGGCTTAGGCAAAAGAACCCTGAGTTCAGTCTGGACTACAGAGACTATGGCTCCAAAGACAACAAAGGGCTGGAAAGAAGGCTTGGATGGTAAAGGCCAGCATCACAACAAAGAGGACAAACGACCGAAACCAAAGCAAGAAAAGACCTATCATTAAACATAAACAGTGTGTGTGTGTGTGTGTGTGTGTGTGTGTGTGCGTGCACACGTGTGCTCTCGTGTTCCAGGATATTTGTGTATTTGTGTATATGTGTAGGGGGTGGGGGGTCAGAAGCCTGTGTGTGCATGTGTGCTCTCCTGTTCCAGGATGTGTGTGGAAGGTAAGAGGCCAGTTCCAGGAGTCAGTTCGCTTCATAACACTGGCCCAGAGATCCAACTCAAGCGCTCACACTCGTGGACAACCTCCTTTATTCACTAAGCCATCTCAGCAGCCTTTCAAATAACACATTTCAAACGTTTACCCACCTTGTGATCCTATGGAGAAGAAAAATTGTCCTCTTACTTTCAACAGTAATATCCCGGCTTAGTTTCACGAGTCTCTCGTATTTGTCGTGCCTTGCGTCCAGCTCCTGCTGAAATGCTAGAACATGGTATGACATCATAAGCACACATGCTGGAACATGGTATGACACCATAAGCACGCATGCTAGAACATGGTATGACACCATAAGCACACATGCTAGAACATGGTATGACACCATAAGCAC